GGTCCAACAGAATGCTAGGACATGACAGTTGGCAGGAGAACAATCTGGATTTTATTTTGAAGTGACCTTCTCCTAGACCAGTGGTTGTGCATAGATAGTGGCATGCCTTCTCCACTGTTTACTCAGTTAAACCAAGCTTCAACCAGACAAGGTAATCCACCATTCTGCTTTGTTAATGATTTCACATATCCCTGGTTTGGGGGGCTCCAGAGTTGCTAGCACTTACACAGGGTGCTACCTCAAGGCTACAAAAGGGAGGGGGAAACCTCACAATCCCTCACAGGCTACTAGCAGCAGCTACATCCTGTGCTGTACCCAAAGATGGAAGAAGAACTGTATGGAAGTTACAATAGATTCCTCCTTTTTTGATAAGAAACCCAGCTCTCACAGCTTCTGATAACAGAGTTGGAGTGTGCAGTTCTGCCAAATGGTGGGAAGGGGCAAGAAGAAGCCAGTCTTCCATGTAATGGAGAATGCTGAGAGAGTGAAGATGACATGAAAAAGCTTTGACTATCCAGCAAAAAATGTATGAAGCAGATGGAAGGCAAAATGGGTAGAGTAAAAAACTGAAAAACCTGGTTGTCATGCAGAACAAAGAACACCTTAAAGACTCGATGATTGAGAAATGAAGATAGACATCCGCAACTTCAAATTTTGTCATTCATAGTCCAGTTGGAAAGAGCTGCCAAAGGAAAGAAATGACTCCATTGTAAACTGAGGAGGCCGAAGGAGCTACTGAGATGAGAAAGGTCAGTTTCCAATTCCCTGGCTTTTTTGGTACTTCAAACAGCAGAGAATAAAAATTTCATAGAGAGGAGGTGATGTGTTCTATGGCCTCTTTGTGCAGAAGATCCTGGATGGCTTATGCTCAACAGTTGGATGTAAGAGGGTCGTTGGAGAGTAGAAAGCCAATCGATATGAGAGAAAGAGGAGGAGACAAAAACTGAAGGACGAATCCACTCCTGAGAAGTTGAATAACTCACTGATGTATGGTGAATGTCTCTCACACTAACACGAACCTTTAAGATGAGACCCCACAGGACCTGACACCATAAAGTAGTCACCAATGCCAAAATCTGTGCTGCACTGTGGAGGAGGATCCCTGCTGGTAAGATCAAAATCACCCTTGTGTTCCAATGGATTATAGTATCAAGGAAGGAGGTCTCGAAACACGAATGGGAGATGCAATAAACCATCTTGTAGATGAACTTTGGGACAGTCGAGAAGCCAGTGTAGAAAGTGAAGAGATTCCATGGGGACTGGAATTCCCACAAATATTGACTGTTTGAGATAAATAGTTTCTCTGATATCGCTAAGGACCAACACAAGAAGGCAAATACCCTCCAGAAAGCCAAAAGGTCCCAGCTGCAAACCAACCAAGATACCAAGAAGAGAGCAGAAACCAATAACCTGACCAAAGTAGAAGTCAATAAATGATTAGGATCCTCCAAAATTTGAGCAGGGGATCTATGATAGGCCTCAACAAACAGTTGTAAAGATAATAAAAAAAAATGAAAAAGTGTTGTAAGTGACAAATGAAGTCTGGAAAACTGAGATTGATTAAGATGAATAGTGGCATCTTTTCTAGAGCCCCAATTAGGAAGTACAGAGTCTAACCTCTGGGAGTCCAAATAAGGGTTCTCCAGATAATGGAAAGCCAAAGTATGCTGATCCAATAAATAAGGAGGACAAGGCATGGCAGCACCCTCCCTCAATGTATCTACAAATCTCCTTGCATGTACAGCAATGTCTGGCAAAGGTGAAAGGATCAAGTAATCAGATGAACTAGTTTCTCTAACAAAGAATGTGAAGATACATAATCCACAGGAGAAATACTCAAACATTACAAACATGGCATACAAGCTGTAAATAGTGTGCAGGAAGCAGAATGTTCATTCATGGTTTGTGAGTAGCTGTCTGAGCAAAGGAAGGTGCTGGAAAAACAGTCTAAATTCTCACTAGTCCACCCTTGATCTCCCACAAACTCAGCCTCAGAACCAACAGAAGAAAAAGCATCAAACTGCATGTAAAACTATCTCTCTGTATATAAGGAACTATGTGTCTTCTGCAGAAATTGCCCCCCCCCCCTACCAATTAAATGGCTCTTGTTATATCATCTAAAAAAAAGGACTTTGGTTCATATCTAAGTATGAATGTTAACATACAGACTCAGATAAAAATACATTTACAAGTGATACAAGTTTAGGTATGAAATTGAAAAACAAAACTACACTATGTAATCAGCAAAGAGATGTTACTCTTTAGACACACATGCCATCAAAGATAGTATCATGGATCTTCCTGAGGTGTATTTTTTGCATTCTTCACTCAGCTTTTGAAAACTCAGCAAAATGACACTAATTGCATCTGTCATCATTGACAGTTTCAAGAATCTGCCTGAGATGTGTTAGCATGCTTCAGACAGCTCTTGAAAACAGAATTTGGGATCATACATAATTTATTCTACATAAATTTAGCAATTATGTGTATGAAGATTTTTTTAAATTGGTATTTTATAACACTTTTTATTAACAATTACTAGTGTAAAGTTGAACATGAAACTGTCATACATTCTTATATAGAAATACTGAACATAAGAAATTCTGGCCACAAGCAAACTCAAAAATAAGATGTGGAAGGCACTAACGTAAGTAGCTAGAGATGATGAGTGGAGATGGGCCCAAGGAAGGTTCAAAATTGTATTCATTTATTGATAGTGATGGAGGAAGTATTGAAAGGACATGTTTGTAATTATTTTACTAAGTCTCAAGATGCTAGCAATAAACACTTTATACTACTAATTTAATACACAACAAAATTCTACTTGCAAGTACTTACACAGTACAGTTCATTGTGCATGCTTACTTTTTGTACAGTTCATGATGTATAAGCCATTTTATTTCTTCTGGACTCACTTGTTGATTCATTTTAATGTTTCTCAGCAATTCTTACTGGTTTTTTCAGCCAGTTTTATAGTTTTCTAAGCTTTCTGGTTGCTGTAATATTTTTGTACTTTCACAGCCAGCTTTCTCTTCTTTCTTCCATTCTTTTTCTCTTTCTTTCAAGCTTTCCCTAGAAGCTCTGATATTACAACAAGTACTATGATGAGCAGAGCTATGGAGGGATTCCTTGCTGTCAAAATACCCTACAGCTTGTTTGTCTGAGGCACTAAAACTATATCTTACACTTTACAGTCTGTATAGCAGAATAAGTGGCCATATTCATGTGGTCTTAGTTAGAATTTATGACTGTCACCTACAATATTAAATATACATTCAACAGATGGACCATGAAAGCATCTTGTCAATGGCAGCATTATTTTGCAGAGACAAGTACAATCCTAGTGATTTGACAGTTGCCCACCACGTATCAACTTGATATGGGGCCTTACCTTGACAATACCTATCTATGAATTTAAAATTGTCTTTTCTATTCTCTGTCAACAAATTTGTGGCCAGAAGGGGCAGCTTTCTCATCAATTTCAAAGTACATGAGTGGTCTATTGCTGCATGCTCTAGGACTGACAAACCTCTAAACAAGTCACAAGCTTCAGAGTTAGGAAGCACATGAAACCTATTCACTTTCAACTGAGTTTAGGAGAGCTATGTTATTTCATGACTATGAATGGCTGTCACAATGGAAGATGCTGTCTTTCCAACGAACATTTCTCTTTGCGACATTCTGGGCTTTGCATTTTGGCTCTTTCATCTTTTGCACTGGGAAGACTAGCTTCACAAAAAATATGAGGAATTCTTGAAATATGTGAACCTGTTAATCTTGAATTCAAATATACATATTTACTGTTTCAAAAGAGGCAAAACAGAGCAGGAGTGGGCAAAAATATCTCCAGCATACTGTGCAAAGCTTGTGGAGGGTTATCCAAAATGACTTTCAGCTGTCATTGCTGCCAAAGGAGCTTCAACCAATTATTAACTGCATAATCATATTATGGGGTGAAGACTTTTACAACATGTGTTTTCAAGATTTTTTTGTGTTTTATCACTAAATTGGGTAACAATGCACCTTTTGTTCTTTGTAATCTTTAGAAACTGGTCTGAGATTAATATACTAAATATTTTTGGCCACTTGAGTTATGTCTTTCACAAGAAAATAACTAAAACTGATTACCAGCACATGGGGGATGAAGACTTTTGCAAAGCATTGTAATTATGTTACTCAAAGCAAAGCTATTAAATTTAACACTAATACTCTAACCTCAGAACTATGGATAAGTCTTTGTTAACTAAAAGTAATCTGTACAATCAGTGTGATTTCCAAATAATTCTTTTTTCTTTCTTTACTACTAAAAAAGAAAAATGTATAACAGTACATTTTGTATTGTAGAACTTTAATAGCCAGATTAAGAATGTATTGAAAATTTAACTATACTGCAAAGCTATTGCTATGCCATACATCTCAAATATTTCACTCTACTTCCTTTAACATTGTTACAAACAACTCAGCTATGTAAGTATAATGTTCAATTAACAATCATAAAGATGATATAAGTAATACTGATCATGAGCAACTATTGTTATAGCACAGAAAAACAACTAATCTCACTGTAGTGATTTGCTTTATATGAGGTGTGACAATATATTCAACATCTTAGAAGTAAAATTTGCAATTACTGGATTTTGTATTCTATGAACTTCATATAAAGGAAAGATTCTTCAATTTACTAAATACAATGTTTCAAACATTTAATAAAACTTAAATGTATATAATGCACTTATTTCTTGAATAGAAATTAACTATTACTATTCAATAATATTACAATTTCCCCTTAAAGGCTAAAAACTTTTTAAAATACCCTTCAGTTCAAGCATTCAACTTTAACTGATTTTATGAATTTGAAATATACATAATTTGTTAAAATATGGAAGGCACGTTCTATATTTACACATGTATTTTATACTTTGATTATATAAATATGTATCTATATATACTATTAATAATAATAATAATAATATTAACACTATTCGTATTACAATACTTACCTCCTTAAAAGCAAATGGTAGCCCTAATACGCCTGCACCAATAAAAGATATAAAAATATTTGCAATTATTTTAATTGGATTTTTTGTGCCGCTTCTTCCACCAGTCTCTATAGTCATTCTGAATTAAATTTAGAAAGAATTGCAATATCAAACACATTCAATTCTTACACTATTCTGCAACATCAATCACGCACTATAATGTATAAATAACATCAACAGCTGCAATCAAAACTGTCCATGTTGGCAGTGATGTCAACACGTTTATGTCAAGTGCGCTCTTACTATATATTTGTGTATTATACAGTCTATGAAACACAAAAACATATATATTTGTTAATTTTTAAAATATTACAAATATTATCTACATAACTGCAAAATATTAATATAACATATTATACACATAACTATAGAATTAGTCTGTAAAAGCATAACAAAACGATTATCTCTTAGGGTTTCGTAATAATACTTGGACTGATTAATTATAAAGTCTTATAAGAGAAAGTATTGTTAGTTAATTTTCCGTAAAAATTCTTTCCGAAGAAACTTTAAGCGATACAAGTACTTTCTTAAATAAAACTGGTTTATTCTTTCTGAATACAACTTTGCAATACACTTAATTTCCACAGTCGCGCTATAACAAACGCTATAATTCACAACGAACGTCTCACGTGCTCGACTCAACTGTCCGTATCTATCTCTCTCTGCAATTCAATTACCTTACATTGTTGCCGTCACTTCTTAGCGGCTTATATACAAGAATACCGCATATCTAGTAACCTCTCGAGGCTTCAGGAAGGGACATGAATGTTCCAGAAGCGCATGACGTGTTACTAGTGTCACGTGACCTCCGCAGTCGTAACAGTATAGAAAAACCATACCTTATTAGCTATAAATATGACTAAATAGGGAGAAAAGAATTAGATTATGCTACCCAATGGTATAATATAAGTGACAGAGCAAGAGATGTAATAAATGGGGCTAGCAATGATGCAGTTTTTGTTGTGCACATAGGGGCTAATGATGTAGGGAAAGGTAGGTCACTAAGGTCAGAGAACGTAATTGATAAGTAGAAGGGGTTGATAAAGGAATTTCTAAAAAGAGCCATAACATAAGTGTGTTAGGAATACTGCCGAGAATTAATTGTGTGGATGAAATTATAAGTAGGTCACTAGGGTTAAATGTTAAGCTTAGGTTAATATGTAACTTGTAACTTTTGTTTCTATCTACCAATTGTTCAAGATGAGGAATATTGCTTAAATCTTCATTAGTAAAAACTGAAGAAAAAGCAGAATTTGATAATCCAGCCATGTCAGAATCTTCAGATATAATACTTTCCTTATATATCCCACAAAGTTCCTACCCCATCCTAATATTATGTTTGCTCTTAATGTATTTAAAGAAATCCTCACTGTTAATGTTTACATTTTCAGTCAACCTATTTTCATACATCTTTTTTGATGTTTAATTTCCTGGTTGACCAACTTTCTTGATCTTCTAAATCTTTCGTCATACCAGTCAACATATATTTCTTAAATTTTTCATGCTTTTATTTAATTTCATCCCTTATACCTGTTATGAGTCAATCTGATTTTTTACTTGCAGCTACCCTTTGTCTTTCTATAAGAAATATGCTTATTTAGAATATTTAAAACTTATATTTCAACATTTTCCACATTTGATCACTGTCTCCAAGTGACTCAGCTGTCCAATTCACAACAGAAAATTCTTGTTGCATCCCTCCAAAATGTGCTTTTTTGAAATTTGTATACAAAATATTATAAATCCTTATTTACATATGCAGCAAAACATCTAACCTAATAAAACAATGATCACTTGCACCCAGATGTTTTCCAATATCGACCATTTCATACATTTCTATATTAGAAGTTAACAATAAATATAAAATAGCATTGTTCCTAGTAGGTTCCTTGACCAATTGATGAAGAAAACCATCTTGAACAATTTCCAAAAACCTTTCTCTCTCATGGTTTGACTCTAACAATTCCTAATCTATATGCTTGAAATTAAAATCACCCATAATTTATGCCTCATTAACAGATAAAATCTTAATCTCACTGTAAATTTTCTCATTAATTTAATCAGTATCATCTGGTGGCCTGTAACAAATTCACACAATAAACCTTTTTCTTTTATATCTGCTAATAGAAACCCAAATAGATTCAATCTCCTGGCTGTTATCTTTCACATCCTCAACTTCAACAGGTTGTAACTCGCATTTGACATATAAAGCAATTCCTCTTCTTCTCTTTAGTACTATGTCTATATTCAATAACCTATAAACCTGTATTTTAAAGAAATTTCTGTCATCAAAATCGTCTTCATTTAACCTTATATCAAGTATTCCCATTATATCAAAATCCCCCTTTCCTACCAACGCTTTAAAGTAATCTATTTTATTTCTTATACTCCTAGCTTTACAATAGTAACAACTAATCCTTGCAAACAAGCCAGCTCCCACCCAGTAACTATGACTCTCTTAAGGTTGCCAAATGCCTCGTCATCTAATTAGTGACGCGCATGAATGGATTAACGAGATTCCCACTATCCCTATCTACTATCTAGCGAAACCACAGCCAAGGGAACGGGCTTGGAAAAATCAGCGGGGAATAATGGATGGAAGAAAGCAGAAGGTTGTTATAAATAGAGTTCAGTCAAACTACATTAATGTCACAAGTGGAGTACATCAAGGCTTAGTCTTAGGACCTTTTCTGTTTTTGATTTACATCAATGACACAGATCAAGGAGGTAAATAAATTATTTAAAGTTGCCATGACATTAAGGTCTCGGGTGTTGCTGGCTGTGAAGATGCTGCTGCTGCTTTGTAAAATGATTTAGATCAGTTAATGAGTCGGGTGGATAAAAGGCACATAGGTTTTTAATTATTATAAATGAAAGATAATACATATGGGTTATAGTAATTTCAATCAGAAATATAATTTGGATGGGAGTAACCTTAACAGTGTTATGAAACAAAATGAATCTTGGGGTAATGGTTGCTAGTGGTAGGCAAATAGGATTATAGATTGTATCTACAGAAATATTGAATAAAATTCTGAAAAGTTATAATTTCATTACATTGGTCACTGCTTAAGCCACATTTGGAGTGTTACATTCAGTTTTGGGCTCCTCACCTTAGCAAGAACATCGAATTGTTGGAAAGGTTTCAGAGGAGGGCTACTATAATGGTGCCTGATATAGAGGGGTTACCATACGAGGAGAGGTTAAGATCTCTAAAATTATTTACTCTTGAAAAGAGAAGAGTTAGAGTGGATCTGATATATATAAGATTGTTAAGGAAACTGATAGTGTTGATGAATCATCTATTTTTATACTTAATGGGAGGACTAGGGGACACAAATATAAATTTTGACAGGGTAGGAGTTATCTTTAGATAAAACAGTTTTATTTTTCTAATAGGAATGGGTTGCTTCTATTTTATGGAGGCAGTAAACTTAAGTGAGTTTAAGCAAAAGCTTGATAACTATGTGAATAATAAGGATTGGCTTTAAGATTTTTTTATTTAATAGTTTTTGTTTAGTTTAGAGGAGTGGACAGCCTAGATGGACCAATAAGTTCCTTGTTGTCCTTAAACATTGTTATGTTATATCCAGCGTCAACGAAACCTTTCGCCCAGTAAAAGGGGTCATCAGGCCATTTAGGAGGGTCACAGGTTCGAAGCTCCGTCCCACCAAACATGATCGCCCTTTCAACTGTGTGGGCATTATAATGTGACAATCAATCCCACTATTCATTGGTAAAAGTGTGGCTTAAGATGACTAGCTGTCTCCCCTCTAGTCTTTCATTGCTAAATTAGGGACGGCTAGCTCAGATAGCCCTCATGTAGCTTTGCGCAAAATTCAAAACAAACCAAACCCTCTCTCTCTCTCTGAAGCCCAAGCCCTCAGTTTGGTAAATTAAGTTTAAGACCTTTATTTATAAAATTGTCCTAATATGTAATCTGTAATCATGATTAGTTGTTATTAAATATCACCCAGTGGGATGACGGTAAGTCTACGGACTTACAACACTAAAATCTGGGGTTGGATTCTTCATGGTGGACACAGCAGATAGCCCAATGTGGCTTTGCTCTACCGTAAAATCGTATTAATCATTTTATAAGTTGTTAACAGAATTAATTATGAAGTAAAGGCACTGTCCTTCATCTTATATGTGCATTTTTAGTATTAAGCTTGTAAGTTTGAATAAATTTAGTTTCATTATGTTTTGTACATTTTTGTTCAGTCCCCTTCTTTCTCAAACCCAAAGTCAAATAACGCAGAATTACCCACAATAAATATCTTGTTGAATATTATCCTAATCTGTGAATTTATCTCAGCACTCTAAAGGAAACAAGTTTGACACTGATTATACCACAACATACAAGTAGCTTAGTATCAATGGTACATCAAAAATATGTTCAGGATTGGAGAGTTGCTAAAGTAAATAGAAAGATTTGGGATTTGCAAGTAGATAAAGCACCAGGTCTAGACAATGTTTTCTCTTGGGTTTTAATTAAAAAGAGGTCAAAATCAGATACGCGAGCCTCTCTCTTTCAATTTTGATATGGTGGTATCTTCCCTACGAGTATAAGATAAGATAGATTTGTTGATAACAGCAGATTCGACAAAGACGTTTGTGGCGTAATCTGCATTTGACAAATTTTCCTTGTGTAAGAAATAATGAGACTAAACAAACTTAATAAAATGAACATAATCTTTATTATCAGCAAAGAAAAGAAAATGCATTGTAAATATTTGCACAGATGAAAATACACTTTGGATTATGATTAGGTCCACAGCTTTTTCTCTCTCTCAAGGTAGATCTCTGCAGAAATAAAACATGATGATATTAAAATACGGTCTTTACTTGAAAAACTCCTAAAAGAATTGAACCAGGAAAGTTTTACATTTATTTATTATACAATTAAACATTTTTTTCATATATATATATATAT